AGAAACTTGGTGCTGCCACTCTGGCTGCTGAGGGGCACGCTGCGTCTTTAACACCTCACTGCAAAACAAACACTTAATGCTATTTTTTCTTTTTTCATAAAAGTGAAACTCCTCTTCTAATTTCTTTTGGTTAGCAGAAAACAGGTACTAACATAGGTCTTTCATAAAGTGAAGTAGTAGACCACAAACTTCCGAAAAGTGGGGAAACCTCTATATCCTTACCTTTCTAAAACAAGAAAACAAACCAAAATAAATCCTCAATGCCTCACAGGCTGTTGTGGCAGTGAAATGAAATCGTAAAAATAAGGGCGCCTGGGTGGCTCAACTGATCAAGCAACTGCCTTCCTGACCCCAGTGTCCTGGGATAGAGTCCCTGCTCAGTGGGGTGTCTGCTTCTCCCTCTCCCTTTTCCCTTCTCCTCCCCCTCACTCCTGCGCTCTCTGCCTCTCTCTCAAATAGATAAATAAAATCTTAAAAAAAAAAAAAGAGAGAGAACTAAAAAAAAAAAATCATCAAAACAGATCTACCATGTTCAGGGCACTACTTTGCATGCCTCTTCTCATTCAGTCCTCACACAGCCCGGGAAGGTGCGGCCCTGGTCTCTCCCAATTTGTAGGTGAGGACACGAGGTTCAGAAATGTTCGGTAACTTGGACAGACTCTTGTAACTTCAGTAACTTGGCCACTGTATTGTTCTATATCCTGCGCTAGAAGTCAAAATTAAACACAGGGGGGAAAGCATACAATTCCCCGCGGTAACCTTGAGCAAGTCCCTCTGCTCCGTGGGCCTCAGTTTCCCCTTCCTGTAAAATGAGGGAAATGTTTGGATGGTGGGTAAGGATCTTTGAGGTCCCAGTGTTATGGGGTGCTTCGAACATTTCAGTGAAAATAGGACTTCTGGAACTCTTTGAAAGTCCGATGACTACCATTGTCCATTCTGTGGGGATAAATGTGCATTTCTGTTTGTTTTAATAACATTTGTAGGAGCTTTATATAGTGTCTATGTCTGCTTACATTAGACGCTGTGTATTATAGTTAAGAGTCTTTCACTATTTCCCATATAAACCTTATTTTTTATGGGTTTGGGAGAGCTCAGCTGTAAAAACTCTCTTGGCTGAAAAAAAAATTTTTTTCAGACAAATTAGGTTTAAATCAGGAGGCTGGTTTCAGACACTTCAGACCCTGCATATTTTTTCTTCCTAGTCACTTTTCATTTAAAAATGAGATTGGCTGATTTCTTGGTTTCATTTCTTTTATGGGGATTTAGCACGACCATAAGCTTAACCGTTAGCTGCATGAAGAGAATGGATCCAGAGCCTTTTCCAAGGGACTCCAGGGCCTGAAGCCTGCAGACTGGCCTTCTAATCCTAGCTCAGTCTTCCACTAGCTGTGTGACCGTGAGCTGGTCATTTCACCTCTCTGGGTGGGGACAAAAACATGCTTAGAGAAGTGAAGTTCCAAGGAAAAATGAGTGCACTCTACAAATATCAGAGGCCGGGAGAGAGAATAACATGGTGTTTTCACCAGCAGAGAGTAGATAATCAGTCAGGGTGTTACAGTCAGGAGAGAACCCAGAGGTTGAGAAACCTGCTGCATTCCTCACATTATAGATGGGGTCCCCTCTGACCCACAGAGGAAGAGTGTTACTGGTGAAGGCTGGAGTTAGAATCCAGAAACTGTCCCGAAACCCTTTCTTTCTTTCTCTACCTTACATTGGGGGCCAAGAAAGATTTGACTAAAGAGGTTGTATTTGTATGAACACACACACACACACACACACACACACACATCCTGGAGGTGTTTGAGACATGGGGAAAAGCCAGGTCTCTGAGGCAGCCAGAGCTGCCCTTTGATCCAAGCCAACCCACCTTTTACTGCCCTATGACCTTGAACAATGTCCTTCACCTCTCTGAGCTGGCTGCCTCAGTTTTAACCTCGTGCAATCTTCACGAGGCATAAATGAAATAATGCATGCTAAGGGCCTAATTTCCTCTACAAATTTTAGTTGTTGCTTTGATTATCTCATGCACTAATAGGTTTTCAACATTAGAAAAGAAAAAAAAATAAATGGATGTAAGAAAAGATTATATTTACTGCATGGAAGGAATAATAAAACTCTTCACAAGTATTTACTATTGTATGTGAATGAGTGGTGATTATTAGGATTCTTTTTTATTTGTTACATTTATACCCGCAGTGCCTAGCACCAGGTGGGTGCTCAATTAATGTATGTTGAGTAAAGTGTACAAAAAATACACCAGCCACTGAAGAAATCAGAAAAAAAAACAGCAGCATAATTTTTTGTTGTTGTAAAAATAATACTAATTGTCTTAAAATGTAGAAAAATATAGCTAAAAAGAAAAATATAGCTAAGCAGAAGGAAAAGTCAAAATCATCCTTTTTCCCCAAACTCAGAGGTGGAGGTATAAATGTTTTGATGTACATTCTCCCACTTTTTCTCCATGAATGCTATTTAGCTAGTTTTACATAAAGCAGGTCTCAATAAACAGTCTTTAGCAACCTGGGAGGTTTTGTTTTGTTTTTGTCTTTTTTTTTTCCTCTCCACTTAATATATCATGCACAATCTCCGTGTCCATTCCCATACCTTTTCTAGGGGCTGTGTGGTAACCCACCGTACTGATGGATTTATTTAGCCAGTTCTGTAATTATAACACGTTGGGGTCTTTTGTGTTTTTCACTCTTCAGTAGAATAGTCCCTGTTGTTAAAACTTTGTAACATCAGGGAGGATTCCCTTGCAATAAATTCCTGGAATTTACTTTTAAGTTGGTGACCATTCCATTCCCCCTTGGATTAAAAAAAAAAAAAAAAGTGCTGTTCTCATTTCAAAATTGCTAACGCCCGGGTTTTCGCCTCGGGGGGCGGGGGATTGAGAGGTAGGTTTCCAACAACCTGCGTGGACCCCAGGGAGAGAACGAGGAAGCCACGGCGGGTGTCCCAAGCCGGTCCCCGGAGGAGGGGGCGCCACCGGCAGGCGAGGGGCGGGAGCCGCGTCTGCAGGCGCCCCGCGGAGACCCCGCGCCGCGCCCGTCGGGGCTGGGCTGCCCCAGCGGGGGGCCGGCCGCGCGCCCTGCTCTGCGCGGCTCCCCGGCTCGGCTCGCGGGTCCCCGGCCTGAGCCGCGGCTGGGCCCGAAGCGCGGCGGCACCCCTGGGGACCCGCTCTCCGCTCGCGGGCCAGGGCTCCAGGGAAGCGGACGCGGGTGCGCATTCCTCCCGTGCCTAGGATACCTCGCGGCGCTAAAAATAGGCGAGGGAGCCGGGCTCCGGGGAGAGCCGGGAGGCCATCTGTGAACTCAACCGGAGCCCCGGGTTCGAATCCAGATAAGGTCCCCTCCGGGTCCGAGGCACCAGGATCGGCTTGCTCCGTGAGCCTCAGTTTCCCCATGCGTGCCACGATTTCTAAGGGACTTCTCAGCTCTCGGGAAGAAAAGGAAGAAAGAAGGAGAAAAAAAGTCTTTGATTTTCCTTTTCTGCTCCTCCCCGAGGGCCTCGGGGCCTCGGGCCGGGGACTGAAGCCGGGGGAGGGGTGTGCCGGGCGGCTCATTACCGCGAGGTGTTGCCCTAGTTAAATCGCGGGCGCGTTTGATCTGGCGGCGGGTGGCGAGAGGGAAAAAAGGGAAAGGTAGGGGGTCGGAGTGGAGAGACGCTCACACCTCCCCCACCGTTTCCTCGCACCCATAAAACACCTTTTATTAACTCCTTCGCGTCCGGAAGGGCTGGCGTGGCCGCTGGGCTCCTGCCTCGGTGTTTACAGCCAAGTCTAATGGGGCCCCATATTCACCCCGACGGCGGGGCGAGGCGCCCTGGACACGCCTGGTGCCGGCGCTGCCCGGGGCCTCCTTTCTCGGCGCACGGCCACCCCGCGGAGGGCGCCCAGGGCCCCGCGCCCGGTGCGCGCGCCTCCCTCGCAGCGAGCGCGGAGCCGGGTGCAGGCCCCGCAGACCGTGCGTTCCCGCGCGCAGCCGCGGAGCTGTGCCGGGCCGCGCCGGAGCGCCTCGCCGGGAGCCTAGCGCACCGCGGCGCGCAAAGCTGCCGGTCGGTACACGGTTATTCAGGGACACGTAAACGCCGGCGTTTGCCTGCCCCACGTTAGCCTTCCACGCATCTGCGCCTTGGCATATGCACACGCTTTTATTTATCCTCATGGGTGCGCTTGTGGGGGCACAGAAACCAGCTGTCCGGCACGAGTGCCCGAATTAGCAAGCACACACACTCCACCGCTTTGCACAAATCCACATGCTGTCTCACAAATATTTGTTTAGTGCTTTGTTCCTGGAAAGAAACCTAATTGTCTCAATGTAACCACAAGCACTCACGAGCTTATTTTAGTCGAGTACAAAGTAATAGCCGGTATGATTGTCGAGCTCTTGCCTCGCTCAGGGAGCTGTGCTAGGCAGACCCGGTGGTTGGCCCTCGCACAGCTGCGGGGCTCCGTGTGAGTTCCTGGACCATTACACACACATCTATAAGATCCGAAGAAGCTCACTTACATGAACCTATTCCCCAGAGCATCCCCTTCTGTCGACTTGCAACGCCCTCAGATGCCATTTGCTTGTATGACAAGCCCCCTTCCCAGTAACCCCAAACCACCACCTGCAGACACCGGTGTGCATACCATCCCACACATCAGCTGAAATGCTGACCCACATAAATCCTAGCCTGTCCTCTCTGGGCCTAATTCGTTTCCAGTTTTCCTTTCTGTGGGTTCACTCAAGTTACCCTGTCCAGCCATTATATTCTAAGAACTTTTTTCTTTGTCCCACGAATAAATCCTCCATCTGCCCCCCTTTCCCGACTTGATTTGCCGTTTGGTCAGAACTTTTAACAAAAGAGAAGTCAGAACAGAAGATTCTCCACCTAGCAGAAATGATGGGGCTAGCGGATATACCCACCAAGACAACACGCAGGCTGCCTCCGATTTCAGAAAATCTTTTATTAGTCAAGAGCATAGATACTGCTTTGGCAAAGGGAGGAGGCGGTGAGTGGTCTTATAGATTTGAGGTAGAAAAAGGGTAGGGATGGGGTAATAAACACCTGAGCGCAGCAGGCATGGTAGGTAGTTTAAATACATAAAAACTTTTCAACGTAGGGAAAAGTTTTTATTTACAAAGGAAGGAGGGAAAGAAGGAAGGAAGCAAGGAAGGAAGAGAAGAAGGAAGAGAGGAAAGAAGAAAGGAAGGGAGAGGAAGAAAGAAAGAAGGAGGGAGAGAAAGTGTTTCCCTTGGAACTAAATAGGAAGTGCAGCGACAATAAAATAAAATAAAATAAAACACCACTGTTTGAAGGCGAGCAACAAAAGGCAGCCCTCCGTCTTCCTGGTTTGGTTCTCTTTCCCTGGCAAAAACTATTGATTCCTCTTATTGCATTTTCATTAGAGAAGAGAGCGCCCGGGGTTTTGCCGCAAAGCGGTCGGGGAGGACAAGAAAAGAGCCAGTAGGCATAGTGGAGAAAGCATAGGGGCTTCGAAATTCGCCCCAGAAGGGTTGGAAGGGTGCGTTTTAGCGCGCTTGAGTCCCGCAGTCCCTCTCTCCTGCATTGTGCAGCCAAGAGCCGCCCTCTCAGTTTCAGGGGTGGGGGGTGGATATATATATATTTCTCTTTCTCTTAATGTATTAAAAACAATTTCAAATGACATTGCACGTGCGATCCAAGTGTGTCGTTGCAGCTGGCGACCTGCCAGCACGCAGCAGAGGCTCTGCGGGATGCGCCCCCATAAGCCCCTGGCACCCAGAGCCTGGCCCTCGCCGCCGCCTTCCTCTCCTCCCGGGGCTCCGGGGTCGGGCAGCCGTGGCGGGTCCTCGGCGCGGCCTCGGCTCACTGGTTTAACTCCAGCGCCCAGACTTGCTGCGGCCAGCCTGTGCGCCCTTTAATCCTCTTCTCGCCTGGGCCCAGGGCAGGAGGAAAGCCTTCGTGTTGCTGCTGCCAGAGGACACACACAAGAAAAGAGGCGAGAGACAGGTTTAAATTTTTCTACTCCTATCGCCCAGGCATAGAGTTGGGGTGGGGAAAAGGTTTTGGGAGCAGTAACTGGGCGCCTTTAAATAAGTGAGCGATTTCTGTTTGCAAAATAGGCAAACAGGCTCATAAATTTGCCTTTATGCGCCAGAGTTTCTGGGGGCCGGAATGGGATGGGCAGTTTCTGGAGGTCTGGCAACCAGAATTTTCTGTGCCTGGTGAAACGGATGCGCATAGTTTGTGCTTTATGGCGCCAAAGGACGGCCGCCAGTATTGGAATGGGGAGAGTGGGAATCAACAATTTTTCCCTCTCGTGGGCCTTCTCCCCCCCCCACCCCCAAGTCCCACTCGCTTTCCCACCAGGATAAGCGTCTGGGCTTGGCCACTGGGTTGGGTCCCTGCTAGTGCACTAGGAGCCTCGGATGCCTAGGAAAGGAGGAACCAGTTGGCCTGGCCCACTATCCTCCTTCTTGGCTCTTAGCAAGAACCTAGCGGTGCTACTTGAAAGAGGCGGCAACGAGCAGTTGGTAAGGATACGCCCCAAAACTCCTTGCAACCACGCGTCCCTCGGCTTGCCTCTCCTCCACCCCAGTGGCAGTTTAGAGACCTGATGCCTATCTATCTTTCCTGGTCTCCCCCGAGGAGCTTTCCCTAGATTACCACAGCCCCTGCGGGGCAAAGAAAACCTGGCGGGGCTCTCTGGTCAACTCCTAACTTGCTGCGGCGGGCCCGAACACACCAATTTAGAGAAACGAGTTCCCTAGCTTGGAAATCACCACCCTCAGGCGTCCCAGAGCCCTTGGGCCAGCTGACCCGCCCTCCAGAAAGTGTCGCCCTCACTGGAGAGGATGGAGAAGGTCGAGTAGGGATTGCGATCTCCAAAGCCAAAAGCAGTGGGTAAGACCCGTGCCTCTTGCTTGTCAGAGTTTACACACAAAACCAACAAGGTTGCTCTCAGAACTAGCTCGCTGGGCAGTGGAGCAGTGGGAGCGGATCTGGGCTGGGAATAGAAGACCTGACTTGTTTTACCCCAACTCCACCTCTGACTCCTTGGGTAGGTGGCCTTTAATCCCTCGTCCCACTCTGGGCCTCAGTTTCCCTATCGGTGCTAGGAAGTGGCCTAGCCTGTTCAGCAAAAACTCTTTGAAAACTGAGTCCACGTGCATAAATCCACACTAAGGCAAATTAAAGTAACAAGTTTCTACAGCGTTCTTAACGTGGATTCCAGGAAAGCCCAGGAATGGATCAAGCCCCCCTTGAAATTGGGAGCAAAATATAAGATGTGTACATTTTCTCAGGTCTGCAGCTTCCAAAGGATCCATAAAAGGGATCCTTTGAAGACTGTCTTCTTTCACAGCCTTACAGACTGTCCCACATTACAAATGAATTCAACTACGAAGCTGCCCCCGCCGCGCACACGATCCCATACTACAGCCTCAGAATTCCCCGCAGCCTCTCAAAAGCGCTCGCACAGCGACGCAGACTCCTTCCACCGTGCCCCGGGCCTGCGGGGGCTCACCAAGCCGGGCCCTTAGCCGGAGCCCACAGGCCCCCGACTTACCAGCTCCCTTTTCCGCTTGCTCTCGCGGCCGCCATCCGCCTTCTTGAGTTCGGCCTTGAAGGCTTCGGGGTCGCCGGCCTGTGCGTCCTTGGCCAGCACGTCCATCAGATAGGCGATGTAGCTGGTGGCCAGGCGCAGGGTCTTGATCTTGGAGAGCTTGGTGTCGGCGGGCACGTTGGGGATGCACTCGCGCAGCTCCGCGAACGCGCTGTTAATGCTCTCCGTGCGCCTCCGCTCCTTCTTGGGTCCTGAGCCTTTCCGCCGGCCCAGGCGGCCGCCGAGCGCCTCCAGCCGCCCGGGGCTCTGGCCGGGCCTGGCGTCGGGCCCGTAGGCTGCGGTGGCCGCCGCGGCTGAGGGCGGTGGCCCGCCGGCGGGGAAGTCTGGGGCAGCGTCCGCGGGGCTCAGCAGCCAGCTCTGGAAGTAGGGCCGCTCCTGGTGACAGCGCGACGCCGGGCCGAAGAGGAAGGGTTCGTGGAGCATGGGGTGCGTTGGGTGTGGGTGGTGATGGTGGTGATGGTGGTGATGGTGTGCGTAGCTGCCCACGAGGTTCATGTTGGAGCGGCCCCTGGCCTGCGCCGCCAGCCCGGTTAGCGCCGCCCCATGCGCCCCAGAGACTGCCTGGGCCACCCGTGGGCTGTGGGGCGGCGCTCTGCTGGACGCCGGCTTGGGGAGAGTGTGGGGCGAGGCTGCGGACAGGCGCGCAGCCCGCCGGCCTCTCGCCTGTTGGGTCCCGGGCTGGGACGCCGGGCCCGCAGACCTAGTTAACCCTTCTGCGGCCTCCCCTGCAGGGTCTGGCTTATATAAGGCCACGGCTTTGATGTCAACCTCTCCCTGGAGCCAATGGCAGGGGGGCGGGGAGGAGGAAAGGGGGTGGCCGTCCCGGGTTTTAAGCTCAGCGAGCCGGCACCGCACGGCTCTAGGCCGCCTGCGGGGACAGGGAGGCGGCCCCGCCTCCGCCTCCCCACCCCCATTTCCCGGCTAAGGGGGAGGCGGGGGCTCCGTACTTGAGGCCCAGGCCTGTCAACACCCTAGACGGTGGCTGCCACCTCCTCCCTGTGGACTCAAGGAAAGGAATCCAGAATCATCCGGTGAAAAGAAGGCCTTTACCTGGAGCCCGCCCCTCGATTCTCCAGATAGGGAAACTGAGACCTGGAGAAAGAAAGTCTCTTGTTTCTAGATTGTACAGGATTCAGAATGGGAATTCTCGCCCTTCTCAGTCCTGAGCTCCATCTACTACTCTGCTCAGCGCCAGAGCCAGAAGGCCAGAGAACCCTGCTGGAGGCAGCACAGACCGCTAATGGTTTCCCCTAAGCACTCCCAGCCCCTAGTCATCAACCCATCCAGCTAGGGCTGTGCAACCCAGAAGTGCCCCATCCCAACTCTGCCCAAGGCATCCATGCAATCCACGACTGACCAGGGGCTGGAGAAGAAGACTTGGTGTGTGGGGGAGGAGGGGTGGAGGAAGTCAGGCTCCAAGCCCACAGGCATTTACTGATTTGTTCCGGGCTCCAGGGCCTGGGAGGCACTCTTCTCACCTCCTGGGCGCCTAATCCCATCCAAAGGCCAGATGGAGGGCCCAAAGTTTGGCTACATTGGGTCACTCCACCCAGGTCATCACTGCCTGAGAATGTTCACTTGTCTAAGGACCCCAGTGCCAAGGCTTGCACCAAGGCTCACACCAGGAGAAATCAATGTTTGGTAGTAAACACATACAGAAGGGCCGAGAACTTCCACTCGATTCGCAAGGCTGGCGCAGCCAGAGAATTACCATGCTGGTATCTCACACCCAGCAGAGCAGAGAGAGGTCCTGGCTGTGCTGACCTCTACTCTAACCCCCTCCCAGCTAGGGCCTCTCTGGGGCTGTCTGGTTCTCTCCACAGGGGCCTTCTCCCAACTCCCAAGGCTCTCACGGGGACCCGGAAATCCCAGGGTGATGGTGCCTCTCCCATTGAGGTAGCTTCGCAGCTGATGCCCTCATACCTGAGTCCCTCCATCCTCACCAACCTTTCCCAGCCAACCCCCTTCCCTAGGAGGAGCAGAGGGATTGTGCATTTCTCTCCAAAGCGATGCCCAGCGAAGGGCAGGGTGGGGGAGGAGGAAATAAATATGTGACTGCTCTTTTTGGAGGGCAAATTCATTCCTTGCACATTCAACATTGTTTACTGACTGCCCACTATGTGCCTGGCACACTTAGTAGTATAGAGGCAGAGGGAGGAAGGTCAACCCTCCTGGTAGGGATAGGAAAGGTGAGGCCCAGAGATGAACGATTATCCCTGGGGTTGGTAGCAAGTGGAGATGTGGTATTTCTCTCATACAAGGGAATAAATAGATGAGGGGGGGGGACACTGCAGGACAGAAGTGGACACTTAGTCCTGAGCAGGTTGCTCTTATGGGAGCTCTGCAGGGCAGTGGGCCCTAGAGGTGCGTGGCGGTGGGGGGATGGGAGGGCCTGGTTTCCTGCCTGAGGCAGGCTGGAAACCCGCCACTCTCCCGGGCGCCTGGCGCCAGCAGCGCTGGGGTTGGGCTGAGCGCCGGAGGCTCCCAGGGAGGGAGCTCTCGGCGCCCGGTTCAGCCCCGGCTCCACGGGGTCCCCAGCCTCCCCAGCCTGGAGGCGCTCTGGAGTGAGGGTGTGTGTAGAGAGTTGTAATTACCCTGTGCAGTGGGACCTCCGACCTCAACACACACCCAGGGGTTGCCCTAATACTGCCGATCTACACCCGCAGCATCTCAGAGCAGCACTTGGGGGCTCAGGATTACACGTGTACGTATATGCATGCACAGAAGTCCATCTATTCATACAGATGCCAAAAAGTATGTGTATTCTCGTGGTTAACACATTTACACCCATGACACATTTTAATATTCATGCATTCCTAGAATTTTATACATTATCTCTCTGTCACCCACAGGGCACACATCTCGACTCAGATATGTTACAGCTATGAGCCACTCCCCACCCTATAAGCAGGCATGCATAAAGATACCATCACACGGTAGAGGCACACGAATTCTACATCAGTATCGCACAGCTGCAGGGTTTTACACATAGTCTTACACCTACAGTTGTGCACCGTTTCACGAATTTATATTTTCTTATTTTCCCCACAACTGTCTCCACAGCACAAACTGGTGAAAACTCCGTCATACATCCAGTGCGTTCTCGGTGTGGAAACTAACACACCCAGGCACATAGCCACAATTACCACTATGTACACACAGGTGCTCAGACATAGACGTTTTCACCTTTGCACACGACACGCAGTCACACAAATTGCAAACCCTAAGTCTGACGTATATTCTATCTTACGTATATAGCCACATTCACAAGTCCTGAAAATGAAGTCCAGCAATGGATGCACACTGTCACAGCACCCACATGAAGGGCAAGCACTCATACAGATCCTGGCAATTACTAGAAAAAAAGTCACAGTTCCAGCACCCACCACCCACAGATCCAAATCATTCCCCCCACCTTACACAGATCACTCAGAGCCCTATGCATCCCCAAACCATCTGGCCGGGTTAGTGTGGTAGGAAATGCATTATTGATGCTGGATGATGAGTCCCTTGAGGGCCCTCAGAATGCCTGGCAGCCTCTCATGGGTAAAGAGGAGGGTGCCTGTAGTCCTCTGGGTTGCCAAAAATGCTGCTCTCCTTCCTGCACCCCACCCGCCATGCCACCATCCCCACCCCACCCCAGCCTGCCAAGCAGTCCAGTCTTCAGCCCAGCGGCGCCCACAGTGGGAACGCAGCCATAGGGGACCCTCTGGAGTTTCGGGTTTGGCGGCCTCCAAACAGGATGGACGCCACCGAGATCGCCTGCATAGACCGCAAGGCGCCTGGGCTCCAGCGTCGGCCTTCTGGGAGACCCCAAAGTGCTTTTAACTCCAGCCTGGTGCGTTTGGAGTGCGGCGGACCTAGTGAGGACGGTCTCCCTCTCCGCCCCAGGCTACATGGTGTGCAACCCAGGAGTTTGCCCGAAACTCCTGTGCGCTGAGAGATAAGACGTGTGCGTTCCTTTCCCTCTCTGAGCCTCGGTTTCCCCAATTTTAGAACAAAGGGACAGGACTGACGGTCTGGAGTTTTAATTCCCAGCTCTGGACTGTTGCAGGGCCCCCGCCCCGGTTGTTCTCCGCGGGGACTTAGCGCTCCGCTCTGGGACCGGCTCCAGACCGAGGATAAGAAGCTGGGGACTCGGAGGGGCCTCCGCGCGGGTCCACACGCCCCGGCCCCGCCTCCCTCCCGGCACCCCGCAGTGCTCACCCGGAGAGCGCCCCCCGAAGGGCTGACCCTCGCCGCGTTTTCAAAGGCGCGCTTTTCTCTCCGAAGGTGCTAGGGCGAGAACTCTTCCCCCATCTTACGGGGTCGAGAGCTCAAGCACAGAAGGGTTTAGGAAGCCTAGTACAGGGGAGCTTAAGAAAGACTGGCTGCGGAATCCGGCGCGCCTGGGTTGAGATCCGGCGCTGTCACCCTTCCTTGCGTAAACCTTAGGATCCTCAGTTTCCTCTTCTGCAAACTGGGACACAGTAACACCCGCCCAGAGTGCTAGTTTAAAATTAACTGAAGTAATACAGGTGGAGCTCCTAGCACAATAACAGCCCACCTGGATAAACGGTGGTTCTGGTTGGGGGATTAATGCAACGGGAAAAAGAAATGGGGTTTCGGGCGTCCAGGCGACTGCATAGCCCTGGATGGGGGGGGAGGGTCCAGACCACTGGTCTCTGCCTCAAGTGCTGTGTTCTGATCCAACCAAGCCTGTTCCTGACCGCACTGGGTTTTCCCTCTTTCCCCAACTACCTACCCAACAGAACCCCACTGCCATAAGGCTGGAAGCGAGGGAGACCGAGCTTTGCCAGGTGTGGGGTTATGCTGCCAGAGACCTGAATTCCTTCCCAATATCTTCCACCCGCACTTCATTCTCTGCATGATTCGGGGGCGTTCCGGCCCCCTCCAGGACTCAGTTCCCCATCTGTACAGTGGCCTGGCTGTACTCGGACGCTCTGGAGTGACTTCGGCCTGGGCCTTGGGGTCCTTCTGTTCCTGCCCCACTCGTCCCCTCACTCCCACCCCCCCACCCCCCGGGGCTGGAAGGCCTGAGAGCCCGCGCCTCGGCGCCTACCGCAAAATCTTCGCCCGCCGCGTCCCGTGACCTTGACGCCACCGGCAATCCCCGCACCGGACCCCTTATCTAAATAGGGCCGTAAATCAAGGACCTGTCAGGGCCCGGGTAATTACAGGAACTCCATAAAAAGGACCCGGCCGGCCGCCTGTTTATATTAGCGCGGTGTAAAATATTCTCGCTGTCTTGGGGAATCGCGTCGCGCGGTAACGCGCCATAAATCAGCCCGCGGGCCATTTACCCCGCAGCTTGAGCGCGCAAATCCCTTAAACGTTTCTGTGCGGCATCTAAAGAGTGCCTAGGACTTTCCAACCTGGCCCCACCCGCTCCCCGGGGCCCGGGGGACCGACAGGGCACGGGAGAGAGAAAACGGGTCGATTTATCCTACAGGCTAGTGGGGTGAGAAGCCTCCTTGACTTCGCCGGCAGGGGCG